CAGTCAGCGCCCCAGATCCAGACTTTTAGTCTCCTAGATGGTGAGACATTTGTTAAAGTCATCTATCTGTGCTCTTTTCTGTTATCAACTCAGCTGAAGAACTAAGATACCCCCATTTATATGAAATAGGTAAATACAGAGAGATCAGAGTTTGTTCATGAATGTGGGGATATGAGGGAGGGGACCAAAGGGACTCAGTATTTAGAGGCCCTGGGTTTCTGTGAGTGGTGGTGGAAGAATCTGGAAATGATGCTTGCACAATGTGGTGAATGTAATCAAACTTGGAATTTAACATCTAAATATTGTTTACTTGTAATGTTCTGCCCTGTGTGTATTTAGTCACACACATAGTCCCTTTAACAGAGCTTGATGACTAACTCAATAAATAGGTGGTGTGCTGACAAGGCGACATGCCTTTGAATGGGTAATCTTCCTTGTTAGGATTCTTCACTTCCTTTCAAGACCTGCAGATAGAAATAGACCCTATAGACTCCCATCTGTCTGTTTACTGTTGTGGAGGAAAGTCCCTTCATTCTCTTGCATCCTTCCTCGTAGATCTTTGCCTTGAATGAGAAACCTGTGATTCTTTTCTTGGTATTTCTCTCCCTCAGATAGGCTATCGCATGGAGAAAACTGACATTATTTCAAAGAACAAAATTTTCTTCCCTATAAATTCTCGTGATTTTTTTTCATCACTCAGGATTCAAGAGCATGCTGTATGAATACCACTACCACCAATTTCAGTCAACTCCAACTTGTGGTGACCCCAAAAGTGTCAGGTGCCAGAGGAGCACTGTGCTTTACAGAGTTTTCGGGGCTAAGTTTTCAGAAGCAAATTGCCAGGGCTTTCTCATACGGGGCTTCTGGGCAGACCTGAACCACCATGCTTTCAGTAAGCAGCCCAGCATGTGTAACGTGTGAACCTCGCAGACTCCAGAAAACACAGAGTAGGAACAACTGAACCGGACGGAGAAGAGGCTGTAGCTCTTCCAAGCAAGTCTCCTTCCTAAACCGAGTGGCTTTACAAAACAAGAAAATGGACATTCCGGTCTACATTGAGGAACAAAATAAATAAAGAAAATTTTATTAAGTTAATGCAGGTGTAAATAGTTACAAATACAGTTATAATACATCGTTGCCTGTGTCACTTACAATGACACAAAGAATAAAAATAAAGTGCCTTACAAATCTAGTGCAGTGAGTAGAGGTGCTAAGGCTTTGGAATGGAGGAAGCCGACTGTATGTCTAACCCAGTTACAATCGCCGCTCGTCCTATAAACACGGAGAACTGTGCAAATGAACACGCACAAAAAGGCATTCTGTCGGAGTCTGTTTCCAGCCTTCAAGTAGGTAAAGGAAGGTCTTACTTCCGATCGATTGAGGGGAAACTGCCGAGAAGGAAGAAATGCTTGGGTCCCCTGGAGTGGCATCTGAATCTCAGAGGCTCATTCGTGCTAAGAGTTGTCAGGACTCAAGGGTTAAGCCTGGCTAATGGGTCTTCTTTGGCACAGGGGAGGGGTGAGGACAGCCAAGTATCAAGGTACTCTACTGGAGATTTGAGAAAGGAGTTGCAGATGTGCAAACAGAGCATCAAAATTAATTTCACACTCAAGGGAAATCAAATCATTCAGAAAAAAAAAATTCTAACTCAAACGATCATCTTCTGTCCAGTCAAGTTCATCCAGTGGAGATGTCACATGTGTGTCAGAACAGAACTGGACCCACAGGGTTTTCAACAGCTAATTTGTCAAAGGTGATAGCCAGAATTTTCGTCCCAAGTGCTTCTAGGTGGATTCAAACGTTTAGCCTGCTGGTTGGCAGGTAAGGGTGTCAAGAGTCGACACCACCCAAAGTCTCCAGTTCTGTCATTCAGGGCTACTAATAAATTGCCTCTAAGAACGTAACTGACTCTGCAAACCCTGGAGGACTGACTGTGCCCAAATCCATAGTTGAGCAATGCAACATTGACCCAGTTATAACCTGCAGAGTAAGTAGGTGCAAGTTGTCTAAATCTGCATATCATACATACTTAGCATGCGCTAAACACTGGTGGATACGACAGCAGCTAAAAAGAACAGGACCTAAAGCCAAATAAGACACAGGCTGTCACTTCCGGGAACTGCCAGTTTGGATCAGGCCGCTTGTTACAGAAGACACTTGATGAACAAGCAAAGTAGACAGGAGGTGCCGCATATGTCCCCAGGTCTGTGAGAACGAAGGCAGAGGACACACACACACACACACACACACTCTCTCTCTCTCTCTCTCTCTCATTCTCTCAAGTTCCCTCGTGAATGTTTGCAGAAGACTGTCCCAGAAATCGGCCACAGTGGTTGCCTCTGGAAACGGCACGTAAAAAAAACAGGTAGAATGGAGGTTTTCCATAATCTTCGTGGTCTCGGGAATTTTAAATCATGGAAGGTTATAGATTCAAAATTCAAGAGCATTGAAATAAAAAGAGAAGAGTTACTAAACAGTACTAATAATGATACTAAAATAAAACCAAACTCCATGCCATCGGGTCAAGTCTGACTAACAGCGACTCTCCTTCGGGCTTCCAAGACTGTGATCTTGATGAGAGGACTGTCCAGCTCTCTCCCACAGACCACCCGGTGGATCTGAACCACTGACCTTTCAGTTAGCAGCTGGATACAGACATTAGCCGTTATGCCACCCACACAATAAAAGACAGCATCAGATTGCACGATAAGGGCAAATAAATAGTGATAAATAAGCTAATGAATATTATTAAAATATTTTGTTGTTTTGCACAGTTCTTTCAAAGACTGGCTTCTCCTCATAAACTCTGTATTATTGATGGGATGTTTGAGTACGTTCGTCTGTCCAGGTGGACACTGACAGGCATCTGATATGTCCCGTCTTCTGCCCTTTCATCCTTAGCCCCCACCCTGTCCTCAATTCTCCTCCAGGACCCCCTGCTCCACAAACAACATGCCGCCTCTGCTTCTGTGAGGGCTCAGCTCTGTGGACTCAATGCCTGGCACAGCGACACAGAGGAACCACTGTGTAAAGGCTGTGTAGGAAATGAACTGCTCAGAGCCAACGCTCCCTCAAGATGATCTTTTAGAAGAACAGAGCTCGACAGGGTCTAAGTCCGAGGCCTGCTCTTTAGAGGTTTGGGAAAGTCACTTGGTGCCTCAACTTCCCAAATGTAAAACAGGTACACTAACTAACAGTGCTTATCACAAGGGAGCGGTTAAAGGCCTGAACAAGCTTATGTGTGCAGAACACCAGAGCTGTAAAGCTGATACGTGGGGCAGACAATGTAACATTCACTTGAACCCCGAGACTGTCAGTGAAGCACCAGTAGGTGTAACAGGGTATGTACTTCACAACTCATCCCTGGTAAAAGTTATCAAGCACTTTCCCATCACTAGACTTTTGACTGGATGGGAGTAATTTGTTCCTAATTACATAATAAGTTTAGTCTGGTAACAAAAGTTTAACAACTACTTTGACCTGTCTTCCAAAGAAATCATTCACTCCACAGGACAAGAAGAGCTCAGAGACTCCAAAGAAACTGTAAACATTCACACTTCAGGGCTTCCGCAGCACTGAGGGCCCAGCCACGCAGAAGAGAGTTGGGGTCACTCGCCTGGAGACGGAGGGCACTGTGGCAGCAGCTGACCGCTACACAGGGTCTCCAGCCTGTTCTCTGGCGGGAGTGACAGAGGTGCCACACCTACAGTGTCGCTTCTCGCTGGCCCCTGGTCTCCCGTCTTCCTGAAGTACATTTTCCTTGTGGGAACCTTGTCTCCTCCGTCTCTCTGGTCTCTCTCGGCAGCTTCCCTCTGTGGGGCTGGGCCTTCCCAGAGCTGCATGATCTGCAGACAGGCGGCCGGCCATTCTTTCTCATCCCCGGCTGGGACAAGCTCCCAAACCTCCAGAGAAGCCCTGCTTTCGACGAGAAGTTTCAGTGCTGGGCTACGTCTCTTCAAATTTTGTATCTGGAGAGCAAGAAAATGTATTAATTTCATGAGAGAGCTGGCAAGGGAAAAAGAATACACAAAAAACCTGAAGAGAAGTTTAACTTGTAAATTCTAGGTGATACAATAAGCTTGCAATAAGAACTTCCTATATTTGTGCCAATTATTTTTCTATGATGCTGGTTAACCGACAGTCTCGGTTTTTAAATTCAAAAGTCCTGCATGTTGGGAAACGCCTAATCCTGAGCAGATCAAGATGCCTGGTCCCCATCCCTGAGCCTGTCCACTAAATGCCATAGTGCCCACAGCACTGGCTGCACCAGGTAACATTTGCACATCAGCTGTACAATGCAGATGAGGTAGGCTTTTGGTTTTCAGATACAGTTTCAAAACAGAAAAATCTTTGTGTCATTTTTTTTTACTGGGTAGTACAGCTAAGTGAGGTTCTTCCAACCTTTTATAAACATAGACATTCATGTCAAAAGGGCTTACACACTTGGGACCCAGCTCAAGAAGGTAGGACTGGTGGGCTCCTCACGCCGGACCTTTTTCTCCTTAACCAGTTGCATGTCTTTGGCAAATTTTTATGATCACTTGACCCTGTTTTCTCTACTGTAAAATTGGCATAAGTCTAGTATTTATCTTTTGAAGTATTTTTGGTAGGGGACAGATTAAAAGAAACAGCTAGCATATATCTGGCCTATGTTGTTGTTATGTGCCGTCAAGTCACCTGTGACCCATAGTGACACGGCTCTGAACCCTGCCCTGTCCTGAGCCAGTCTCACTAATTGTTGTATTTGTCACTCACTCATTTTCTGTCCACATGTGTCAACTTGGTCCCCTGCTACAGGGACAGGCTGGGCTGCAGGGCGCTATGGGGGAGCCAGGTATACCTTGTCATCCTCACTGCCCCCCGACACCTGTTCCCTACTCCCCAGGCTTTCCGCAAGACGCCTTAGCCTGAGAGCCAGTCTCACATTAGAGCAAATTCCCACACCAGCTTCTCTGCAAGCAGTGAGCGCGATGGAGTTCTTATTCCCCTCAAGTGCTCACCGTTTTGGCTCTTCACGTCCTCATCTCGGATGCTACCTTTTTCCACATCCATTCTTCTCACTGGAGAAAAAGAAAGGCTTTTAGTTTTGATGTAACACAGCTCTATATCCTGCAGAGAGGCTCAAGCTTCAATTTCAGAGTCCTGTGATAAACCCCAAACGTGTTCGTCCCCAGGGAAGCCTGCTGGACGTCCCTGTCCCGTGCTCCCCACTGAGGTCACGCCAGCAGGTAAGGCCTGTGATTCATGCTTCCAGACCCTCGTTGAGAGCTCAGATAACACCTATTTACAACGAAGCTGAGTTACAAGAATGACAAAATCCCTTGTTTGGTTTTTTGTTTTGTTCCTTTATGCATAGTTTTTATTAGTAATAGATACTACATAAAATGCTGCAGCATATAATTTTCTGATGCCACTGTACCTATAAGTTTGTATATAATGTGTCCAATACCCCCAAGAAAACATAGATTTATGGAGACACTGATAATAAAAGGCAATAATAATGACCACTAAAAAACTGAAGGAGGTATTCAAGTTACATTGGAACTGACTTATGAATGGAGTTATCAAAACAGACACGACCGTTTGGGACATACATTTTCTACATACACTTTTCTGTTCCACCCTTCCCTCAGGGAGGAACCACGTTCTGAGATATTTTACCATTTCCTGGTGTTCTAGTTATTCTTATTGCCAACTAATTCATTCCCACAGAGAAATGGCAAAAATGCTGGATTTTAGATGCTATGGAGCCGGGTCTGACGGCCCCATCCCGCTGGCGCTCACCACCATCTCTCATGCTTGAGTCCATTCTCACAGCCCCTCTGTCGGTCTAGCCTGTTGAAGATCTTTCCCTTTGTTTGCTGATTCTCCACTTGATGAAGTAGAGCTCTCTCAGGGACTCGCCCCTCCTGACAGCGTGCCCACAGGACATGAGGGGAGTCTTTCATCCTCGCTTCTTACAAGTATTCTGGCTGGATTTCTTCCAAGACAGGTCTGGTTTTGGGGTTATTTAATAACAGCCAGATGTAAGTTGGCAACAATGATTTTGTTTTACAAATCAACTCTGTCTCAGGTCACTAAAACTTGTTCACTCTATTTTGGCTGAATTCTCAGAAATTGTTTTATAGACACAGCTCAGTTATAAGCACCTTCTCCTCAGGCCTGGGGGCAGTTTTTCATCAGCTACTGGAATTTCTTTCCCTCTTTCTACTTCCCTCTTTGACACCAGCCATCCATACAATCCCTTCGTACAGTTCTCTAAGTATTCTGAATCATCTTAAAATAGGAAGAAATTATTTTTATATACTCCTTCTCCTTGATTTTACTTATTCCCATTAGTAATTAGAGGGACAGATGCATGTAAATAAATTTTTTTAAAAAATTTTTATGTCTTGATTTATTTTTAATTTGGTGTACCACTGAATCGGATCTGACAGGCACAGGAGGAGGTTGCCCCTCCTTCTCCAGCAGAGCATCTGATGGATTCGAACTGTGCACCTTCGGGATTACAGTGCAGCTTCTTGGACGAGGACACAAGAGCTCCAACATGTAAATTATTTTTAAAACTATTTGACACCTTCCACTAGAAGTCTTGCAAAATAGTCTATGGTAAAAATATCATTCTCTACAGAAGGACCTCTTTTTACTGTTTAAAGTGGCCAGAAAGCAGCTCAGTATTATGTTGCAACTAATGCATGACTCAGAGTAAACTGAGACAGGCACCTTCAGCTCTTGCTCTTCCGTAAAGTGTAGCACTATTTGCATGAGGTTATTTTCATGATATTGGGTTGACTTCACCTCCATGTGCTCCCATTCTCTTCCTCTCACTCCCAAACACCAGTTCTCCCGGCTCAGCTCCATTATCACAGCTTTTGAGCAGTGGGGTATCTTTGGGCCACTTTGTGAAGGTCTACCAGGCGTACTAAAAGTCTGGCAGTCTGAGTCCAGCTGCCACTCTCTGGAGAAAGAGGAAGCAGTGTGCTCTCACAGATTTACAGCCTCTGAAACCCGAGAAGTGGGTCACCTTACACTGAAACTGACCTGACAGTAATGGGTTTGGAACTCTACCTGTTAACTCTGCCTAGTACACCTTCCTCCCGTCCCCCCTTGGGGACCACTGCAGTAAGGGAATTGTTGTTCTGTGCCGTCAAGCCACCTGTGACTCATAGTGACCCTATGTACAATAGCTCTGAACCTTGCCCTATCTTGAGTCTCACTGCCTCTGACACACCTAACCCCAATACTCCAGTTACCATGTCAATTACCATTTCTTTTTTGGTTGAAGATGACTAACACCACAATAAGGAACAGAGGAATGGTTCCCAGAAGCATCAAGTGAGTCCTATAATTTGGTGGAGGCTCAAATTGTTCTGAAAAAGCAAAACAAAAAGAAACTGGGTTAAGTCTCTGTGCTCATCAAAGGCTTCTTCCAATAGAGTGAAAAGAAAACCTAGACTGGGAAAAACCATTTGGCAATACTATCTCAGACAAGGGTCTCATAATAAAAGTTTACAGAATATTCCTGGGTCTCCAGAGAAAAAGACGGATAACACAATTACAAAATGGGAAAAACTTTTACAGAGCAACACATTCAGATAACCAGCAGACACATGAAGAAATGCTCAAAATCACTGGCAAGAAGGGAGATGCAAATCAAAACCACAATGAGAAACAATCTCACCCCATAGCAGTGGCAAAGTTTAGCAGGGCAGCAAGCAATAAATGCTGAACAGGATGTGGAGAGGTGGAAACTCTCACTCACTGCTGGTGGAATTGAAAACGGTACAACCACTCTGGAAGGCAGTTTGACACTTCTTCAAAAAGTTGAACATAGAAAGTCTGTATGACTGAGCTTTTCCACTACTAGGACTATACCCTAAGGAAATCGGAACTGAAACACAAATGGACATTTTTACATAAGTGTTCACAGCAGCATTATTCACCATCACAAGAACACGGAAACTGCCTAAATGTCCAACGACAAATGAATAGATTGAGAAACTGTGGTACAGTAACACAAAAGAATACAACGCAGCACTCAGGAGCAATAATTTTGAAAAGTATTACGTAATTTGGGAGAGGTTGGAGAACATTATGCTGAGTGAACTAAGTCAGTCTCATAAGCACAACTACTACCTAAGACTATTTTTATAAAAATAGAAGGATAACTACTAAAATAAGTATGTGAACCAAATGGGGGAGGGGTGGGAGCAGAGGGGGAAGATGGGTAGGGGTGAAACCACTGGGCTGCACAATCTGGTGAGAGAGAGAGAGAGAGAGAGAGAGAGAGAGAGAGAGAGAGAGAGTGTGTGTGTGTGTGTGTGTGTGTGTGTGTGTGTGAAGGAAATGGGAAGGATCCGGCGGGGACTTGAAAAGACAGAATAATGATGGGAATAGTCCAGAGGTGATTAATTTTATAAAACATAATGCATGAGAATGTCTGTATGAAACACAATGTGAATGAAGAATACTGTGAAACACAATGTATATGAACTTTGTAAGCAAACCAATATAAGAATTTTTAAAAAGAAATTGAAGCACTGCAATTCCTGAGATAAGTGGTTTGAATCCACCAGATGCTCTGCCGGAGAAGGAGGGGCCATCTCCTCCTGTACCAGTCAGATCCGATTTGACAGCACACACACACACACACACACACACACACACACTTAAAAAAAAATAAAATAAAAAGAAACTGAAGAAAATTTTGATTGGAAAAGGTTAGGGAACTAACGACAAAGTATCAACAGGAGGGAATCAAGGGACTAGAGAGGAAAAACTCCACGGGAGGTGCTGGGAGTGAGCTCGGGTTGTTGTGGTTGTTAGTTGCCATGCTGCCTGCTCGGTTCTCACTCGCAGTGACCCTGTGGTCAGTAAATGTGGCCCCGCCCAGTCCTGCACCATCCTCACAGTCTCCCTAAAGGCGAAAAGCTTCTGGCCAGTGAACGGTGTGATGGAGAGGAACCCCGGTAAGAAGACAGGAGCAGCATGGAGCAGTAGAAGCAGCGTAGACACTGAACCCCAACTCGGGGTTGGGACTCTGCAGCCTTTGAGTTCAGGAGCTTTAATTCCTGGGCAAGTCCTGTGACCACTCTCAGCATACAAAACAGAAATGGTAAGACTCTGCTTCACAGGGAGGCCAATGTCTGTGAAAAGCTTCCCCTCGGACCAGAGGGAATGTCTCTGCAACACTAAATGCCGACCTGATCATTTCATATCCTTTTATGTTCCTTGATGGCATAGTGGGTCAAGACCGTGGCTACTAGTTGAAATTTCAGCAGTTCAAACCTCCCCACTGCTCCTTGAGTATAACAGAGGAGGCAGGTCGCTTCCATAAAGATTATGGCCTTGTCTCTCTCTCTCTCACACACACACACACACACACACACCCCCCGAGCACTTGTACTTTCTTCTATGCAGCAGCCTTGAATTGGAATTGACTCTTCAGCAGTGGGTTTTGCAGAAGTTTGTGTTTTGCATCCTTCATTACAGAAATTAGCAGTTGGTTAACACGACAAAGATGGCTCACACTGGGCCAAGCAGGACAGACGAGTGAGCGCCGCCCACAACCTTGCACCTTTGTGGTTCTGACTGGGGACGCCATGGCTAGCCTTTCTACCGTGTGGACATCCAGGGACTTCCAGCCATTGGCACCCGCTGTCAGTCAGTCTTTCTGTCTGGAGCTACAGGCAGGAGGAGAGACGTTGTGGCTCCCAGAAGCTCAGTGAACTCTCACTTCTCAGCCAGCTCACCCTGCAGTGTGGTACAAGCTGAGCTGCCAACTGAAGGGCCATGAGTTCAAATCAACCAGCTTCTCTATAGAGAAAGACAGGCAGTGTCCTCACGTGAAGATTCCCAGCCTCAGAAACACGGTGGAGAGTCTCTAAGAGCTGAAATCATTGACTTGAGGGCAGTAGGTTTGAGAAGCAGGCAGCAGTGCCCACTCAGATGGCAAATGACCCCCATTGGAAAGAGGCAAGCGGCTGCCATCTTTGAGTGGGGCACCACTGTCTCCTCTTTCCTACTTGGGTCAAAATCTGCCTCATAAGAGCCCTGTTTGCTGAAAGGCATGTATGCCGCCCTTGTCCTTGACCATGACTGAATCATCTTGATGACGTTCTAAGCTTAGCTTCCTGCTGAGAAGCCCTGGAGAGGAGCAGCTCCAATGGGCTATGATCTCGACGCCTGGAACGAAATCTGAGTGTAGCATCCCTCTGAGCCCCGTGCCCTCCCCCAGCTCTGAGAGTACTCTACCCGGAGCTGGTTGCTTTCTGTTTCAATTTCCTGGGGAATAATAGGAACCATGTGTTGTTTTTTCTACAAGAAATCTGTGAGAGCTAAAAATCGACCAGACTGCTGCTTTTATGGGCCTCTCGAGCATTGTCCCTCTTACAGGGTACAGTCTGGTCATTTTTCTACTGCTTGTTTTAGTCGGAAATGTTTGCGTTTTCCTTCTCTGGCAGGTTTCTGCCTTAACACAGGTTCTGGATTTTGCAGGTTTTACCAAGCCTGGTACACAGGGCACAGTCAATGACTGTACAATCGATGGCCGGAAAGTCAATTCCAACTCTTGACAACACAGGACAGACAAGGTTCCCAAGGCTACAGTGTTTATGGAAGCGCACGATCACATTTTCCCAGCCAAGGGACTGCTGGATTCCAACACTGTTTACCAAGCAAGTACTTATCTCCCGCACCATCAGTAGATATTCACCGCATGTTTATTATGTGCTAGTATGACTCAGATGAGGGAGCGGAGGAAGCAGGACGCATTTTGGTATTCAGTCATTCATTCAGCACGCACCAAATCCCTACCCAGAGCAGGCATCACCCCGGGTGCATTTTAACTGAGACCACATTCGGGACGTTACCTGGGATGACCAACTCGGCAGTACTGTTCTCCTCGAGACCTGCTCTCTGAAAAGTGCAGCGGAAGGCCTCCTTGGCGGTTGCGTTGACCCTCAGCGTGCTGGTTACATTGAAAAGCTCCTCCTCCTCCTCCTTGGTGATGACAGTCTTGCCTCTCAGGACTTGCTGGTCACTGCTTGTCCAGGTGACTTCAGCCTCAGGGTACCCTTTGGCCTGACACGTGAGCTCATGCTCCGAGGTGACTGGGTCCACAGAAACTCTCCGGTTGATTTTGTGGTAGGGAGCTAGATGTGAACAAAGAGAAGTCAGGGCCTTCACTTGTGGCTTGGTGATGTCTACAAACAAGAGTACTAATCCCCACGAGCTCGTCAAGCAATGGGCACAGTGTTCACTGTCTCATCAGGGCACCCTGCCAGCCCGGAAGTAACCTTCAGTTCACTTTGGACCACACTTTGGTTTCAAGGACCAGTTACCTTGCTGTGATTGTTGCGTGCCCTCAAGTCAGAACTGACCCGTAGCTGATCGACCAGTGGATTTTCAGAGGCAGTCAGTGCATGGGGATTGACTGCCCATCTTTCTGTGCATGGAGCAGCAACCTGGGAGATCTGAACCAGGAACCTTTACGTTGGCAGCACGATTCCTTACCACTAAGCCACCAGAGCACCCTCCTAGCTGTAACAGTTATTTTTTATTGTGCTCCATCTAAATGAGTAGGTTGATTTTAAAAGTAATTGTCATCTTTACACCAGTAGGCATAAAATATGCCTTTTCATATATTCACATTTTAGTATGTTTATCAGTTAAGTTTGTAGTTTTTAAACAGAGTCGAGTTATTTCCTCTTCAGGTTATTCCTGGCTACTTTCTTTTTTTGTTGTTAAGACTGTCTTCATAAACATAAACCTTTGAACCATCAAGGAATGTCTTCTTAGATTTTAATTTAAAAAAACCCTTAGATTCTGTTCCACCATCTTCTTTTCTAATTTTTAGTTAATGATCTGAAATTGGGATGAAGCTCCGTACTAAGTAATTTGTAAAATCAGATACATTTCCTTGAATGAGGTCATTTTAAAAAAATTGAAGTTTTAGAATTTAAAAAAAGTTACAAAGGGGTAATACAGAGTTTCTATACCCTTTATCCAGCATCTGTATTATTAATATCTTATCTTGATTCTTTGTCAAACAAAGAAACCAGCATTAGCACATCACATTTGCACATCAACTCAACTCTCCCCTTTGATTTTCACTAGTTTCTTTAATGCTTATTTTCTCCTCCAAGATCCCATCTGGGATTATAGAACTTACTCTTTAGACTTCTTTGTGCTGAAAATGTCATTGTATCATTTTAGTGATTTCTATACTCAATGAGGAAAGTTAGACAAATTTTAGATTAGGATTTGGGATCCTCTTAGGATGAAGGCTCCCAGTTTAGTGACCATTCCAGCACACTAGTTAGTGCCTTTACACAGCTCACGGTCTTTTCGGTGTGCAGGATCGTCAAGCATGTTAATTGCTTTTTCTCTGTTGGCAGAGATTATTTAACTTCCGGTATCAGCATGACCGGTTGAGGTCCATGTACGGTCTCAATCCTCCACGCCTTCACTAAGACGTAACCACAGCTCTGGAAAGAGATATGATTGGAAACGTAACACAGGGCTGCCAAGAGGAAACCAATGTTTTGGTGGTCTCACGGCAGTGAGCTTACTAGTGGAAGCCCTGGGCATCAACAAAGTCATGATTTTAAAAACATAGAAAGAATGGTTCTTATGGGAAACTGAAGGAGCTCTGGTGGCCCAGAGGTAAGGAATTGTGCTGCCAATCCAAAGGGCCGTGGTTTGAATCCAGCAGTTTCTCTGTGGGAAGAAGATGGGTAATCTCTTCCCGTGCAATTTACAGGTTCTGAAAACCAAGTCTGCAGGAGTTGGCTCCGATTTGATGGTACATGATAACAATAACACAACGGGAAAGAGAGTCCTCAGTCCGGCATCTCTCATGTTTAAGAATCCTTTAAAAAAAGAAATCCACTTACTACCCGTCATGAAGTAAATGTCGCAGGAAACAATATTACTCTATCATATCTAAGTCACACAGCTTGATTTCTAGGTAATTTTACATTTGAAGCCTAAATCCTTTGTAAATGGTGAACAGTTTGCTTTTAAAACTAAATATTTAAAAAAGAATTTTACCAGTTTTTAAAAATAATCTATTTTATTCTTCTATTAAAAAGGATATTTTTTTATTTTTTTAATCATTTTTTTGTGTGCATGTACCGTCAAATCAGATCTGACTGGTACAGGAGGAGATTGTCCCTCCTTCCCCGGCAGAGCATCTGGTGGGTTCGAACTGTGCGCCTCTGGGATTGTAGTTGCAGTTCCTTGCCACTAGGCCACCAGAGCTCCCCTAAAAAGGATATTTTTTAAAATATTCTTTTTAATGGGAGAAGATTTAAAGAGAGTGTTATTTCCTATGTAGGATCATGTACCCATATGATGGACCTCCAAGGAGCAAATCAATGGGTGTTTCCATGCCGCATGAATTAAATTTAAACTGCCATAGTCTCTAAAGTATAGTATATGCATTGTGAAGTAGGAAGCAAACAGGAGAACTTCCATTTACGTGTATTTATATCTCCCTCAATTAAGGAGGGATTTCAGCTTTTTAAAGCTTAGCTGATTAACACTGGTCTCACTGTGTGGGCCTTGGGAGAATCTAAAGGAGGGACAGTGTCTCACTATGGGTTCATAGATTTTTAGATTCTTTTATTCTTAAGGGGCCGAGGTGGCAAAGTGTATCAGGCTGTGACCTGAAAGGCTGGTGGTTCAAATCCACCATCCACTCTGTGCGAGAAAGATGTTAAGATTTACAGAAACCTGACAGAGGGTTGCTATGAGGTGGAACAGGCTTGACGGCACTGGGGTGGATTTTTATTGACTTTTCTTATTCCTAGATAAGCTGAGATTCTCACAAAGTCAACAATGAATATTTTTTTTAAAAAGCCTACGTAGAAACGGAGGTTGATGATAATACAAACGATGCAAGCACAAACTAAAAGGAGGGGTCAGCTTCTTCACAAGGTGATAACAAGTGATCTAAGGGACCGTGAAAGGGTGTTGGCCAAAACCCTCAAAATTCCCAAGACCACCACCTTTGTTAATGATGACTTTCACCCAGAAATACACTCTGCCCTGACATAGCAGCTAATGATAAAGCATCACAATCAGAGGACAGTGAAAGTGTTCAGTACCATTTCTTTCAAAATTTCTCCTTCTGCTTATTTTCAATGCAAGTAGTTTGAACTACATGAAACTGGTGATACACAATTCCCTTGACCTTAAAAAAATGACAATTTCACACGAAACAAGCTACAAATTCGTGTAAGTGTAGACTTTCTAACGCATACATACTTTATAACATACACATACGCAGCCCTATTAGCACGGTGGTCAAGCATTCAGGTTCTAACCAGAAGCTTAGCAGTTTGAACCCATGCAGCTAGTCTGTGGGAGAAAGGCTGGTGACTTGCTGTCCTAAAGGTTACAGCAAAAAAAAAATACAAACAAAAACAAAATGTCCCAACAGTACAGTTCTGTTCTACGGAGCTTTTGTGAGTTAGAAATGGATTCAAGCAATTTCCACATAAATCACGCAGACACATTTGCACACATACATGCCTCGCGCTGAACGCGTTACTGATGATGTGGTAATAAAAAGAAGTGCACGTGCTAGGTTCCCTAGAACTAGAGCACCGCACCACCTAATGCTGGTGAGAAGTCGTCACTGGCGTCCTGAAGTCAACAAGCATTTTGACATCCTCAGTGGTACACATCCAGGAAGCAGGACCTGGTTATGAAGGGTGTAGGCCTCAGAGATAAACTGAGTTTCAAAGCTGGTTTGGCCACTTTCTAGCTAGGCAAACTGCTGAGCTTCTCTGGGCCTCAGTTTCCTCCTCTATGAAACGGGAAGAACATCACATTTCGTTAATCTAAAATACCATCTACTGAAGACGCACTCAGATTTCTGAGATAGTAAAATATGCATCTTGGATATGAAGAAGTACTGACTCGTAGTGACTTGGAACACAGCAGAGGCTATGCAAGTGCCAATCCCTACTCTTACTGTTGCTGCTACATCTCTTACCACCACCACCACTCCACCACCTCGACCACTCCATCACCATCACTACCACCACCACTCAACCACCACCACTCCACCACCTCCACCACTCCATCACCATCACCACCACCACCACTCAACCACCTACACCACCACCACCACCACCACCTACACCACCACCACCACCACTCCATCACCACACCACCACCACCACCACCACTACACTACAGTCATCGTTGACTTGACATCTATCAGCAACAACATCCTCTACCACCCTTGAACCATGACATCACATGACAGTGCTTTCAAGAGTTCTTCCTCTTCTGCTACTCCCTCTCAAATATTCCCTTGTGTACTTTTTAGAAGGTGATGACAGTTCTTTATGAAATGTTATTTTCATATAAATATCATCAATAAACATGCTCATTTTAAAAAATTAGGCTAAAATCCTATTTGGAGAATTGTTATATTCACTCAGGAACTACTTTCCCATTACTATATGCCAGACACAGGGTACAGAGTATGAATGAAGTTCCCTCAAGTCTCTGCTATATTCACTGTATTCTAGGAGAAAGAAACAGATACAAATAAACATTGTTAATTATAGTTACATGATATATTATGTGGTGTATTAGAGGGTGGTTAACAGTTAATACTATAAACTTAGCCAGGGTGGGGAATCTGAAGGAGGGGTTAAGAATGATAAAAGGTCATTTTTAGTCTATAACAGCAAACTGACTATATCAAGTTAACAATGCACACGTTTGGTTCTTTCAGATAGCTGATCCCACTGAAAGTGTAACTGAGAATTTAATTTTCCCTGCTATTAGGCTCACCAATTGGAGGGGGGAAAACAACATTTTCAATTAAAAGTTAGGGACCTGAGACCCTGGGAGTTAAATGAACCAACAAGGAGGCGGAATAACATCCACAGTGACGAGCACAGTTGAGTTAATTCAAAACCAAGACCTTTCAGTTTTGAAATGCTTCACCTTTAAAACCCCATGATGAGTAAGCTCTGTGGGTGCAGTTGTGTTACCACCCATTTGCAGTGATGGGAAGAGAAGCCTGAGAGCTTTACTGTGAAATGATTTGCATACAATTTCAGGTGTCCTATTTCTTAAGAGTGGTAATGCTGGTTCTTAGCCAGCTGGAACACCTGGCGTCAAGTGCCGAGTCAGTGTCTCGGGCACCCTGGACAGCTCTCTCTGGAGGCTCAGACTACAGCTTGCCAGCTTGGTCTCTCAAGAGAGCTGTACATGAACGAGTGACAAGGGAGCTGAGCATTAAAATGCTAATTTAATCAACTACACTACAAAACTGAATGGCAAACCCAAACAGATCTTCAGTTCTGGTTGTTTATACACTAACTTTGCCCCCAGCTGTCCTCTGTTAGAATCCTCCATGTCAGAAGACTTCTGACTGCATCAGTCCGTACAGGTCCCCAGACAGGAGTCCTGGGGGCATCACAGTTATGTGCCTGCCTGCTGACCAAAGGTTTGCAGCCCAAACCCAACAACTGCTTTGCAATATAAAGGACCTGGTGGGCTGCCCATGTTAAGACTGCAGCCATGGAAACCCTCGGAACGGCAATCTGGTTGAGTCTGTGTGTGTTGGAAACTGTTAACATGCATGGCTGCTTTCTGAAAGGCTCGAGGTTTGAGCTCATCCAGACATGTCTAAGGAGAAAGGGCTGCTGATCTACCTCCAAAACATCAGCCATTGAAAGGCCTATGGGGCATTGTCTCCTAACACACACGGGGTTACCAGGAGTCAGAACTGATGATGATTCGGACAAACACTGCTCCCCACCACAGGGGCAGGTGCTCCAATTCCTGTGTCCTCCTGCAAACTGATGAGCCTCCACCTTGGAAGGAAGTTCTTTGTGCTTCCTTCTTTCTGACTACCAGGCTATGTTCTCCATCCTCTGCCCAGAAACAGCAATGGGAAATCACCTGATTCTTTATAAGTCTTGCTATTGTCTTTAATGCTCCAGAATCAGTAAATGCTGATGGACTAAAGGGAAAGCTGAAAGTGTAAGTCCCCTTATCCTAGCTTTCTTTCCTAGTATCACTGTCCTGGAGAAGTACATCAAAAATTATAACGCAAATTAAATCTTCACAAGTCAAGTGACACGCTGTTGACAACAGTACCGACCCAGAACAGGAAGCCTAGGACTGTAGCGTAAGACGGATGCACTTCCCTTAATCTCCATCTGACTGCGTCACCGACCCATTTGCTATAAATGCAGGCCTTCTTCACTTGCCTTGTTGACTTTCAGATTGATGGTAGTTAGTGGAAAAGCCAAGAGGAGATGATCTCATTGTGGCCAAAGATTGAAAGGCCATCATAAATATGAAAGCAGCAGGAAGATAATTCCACCAGTGGGTTTAGAGTAGTTGGATTTAGGCTAGATATCAGGGAGTAAATCCACAAGGCTCTGGAAAAGGGGGTCCCCATGATGAGGGTGGGAGGTCTGTCTGCACAAGATGTCCCTGCATCCTTGAGGGATGCTGCCTGGGGATTTCTATTCTTGGTGGAAAGTTGGGCCGACTGCTCTCATCTGGGATTCTCTCAAGTCTGTGAATCATATCAGTGAAAGCAGAGGCAGCCAGTTAAGGTGTTTTCCTTTACTTTGTGAGTCATAACCCAAAACCTTGAACCCAAGTAACCTATTTCCCAAGAACTGACACTTACAGTTCCTCTTCAGAACTCCAAGATGACCCTGTGGAGATTTTAATGATAAAACCTGACAAGTGAGCACAGCCACACTATCTTTGAGGAAGAAGAGGTTCTCTCCAGTTAGCACGATTATTTTTGCCTTTGTAGTTAGATTTCCAAAGGTTTTTAAACAGGTGAACTTCCCCATGGGGTTAGGTTTTAATATATTTACCTGATTTTGACATTGAAAATTTCAAAAGAAAGAAAACACTGGCAGCCTTTGTTAATAAAGGAGTTGGATTTACATAATGTTTTGGAAGGGCACAGAAGTAATAGTTACTAATTTTGAGTGTCACGGAAGATGGTGGTGAAGGGAGGAGGGGACACTTTTTAATTTCATTTATTCCCTTCTAAGGCATCTGAAAGGACTCATAGTGACACAGTGATTAAAGCACTCACCTGCTAGCCAAACGGTTGGATGTTTGAGGCTGCTCTGTGGGGGAAAAGACCTGGTAATCTATTTTCCTAAAAGTTTTTTAAATTGACTTCAATTCAGAACTGACTCATAAGTGACCCTTCAGCAGGTTTTTAGAGGCTACAAATCGCACAGGAGGACACTTCTTATCTTTCCCTCACAGAACAGCTGGGTTTGAACCGCAACAGTTGTGTTGGCACCACAACTCCTTACCCACTAGGCTATAAGAGCTTGGAAATCTTATGGGACAGTTAGTACTCTGTCCTATAGAGTTGCTATGAGTCAGGATCAACTTGACAGTATAAAGCAATATGATAGCTGAATGATATGAAAGTATACACATTACATTTATAATCATGTAAGAGTTAAAACTAGGAATTTATGTTTAAGAAAACTGTATATACGAGGGGCTGGCCATGACTGGTTCTGGATCCATGCTCTCCTTACAATAGATGTGACTCTGTCTCCTGGCCACCCCACGTGTATTACAGAACTGTCTTTTGCAATGTTCTTCAATGGCTGTTTTTTTTGAAAGTAGATGACCAGGCTTTACATCTAAATCCCCTCTGGTGGACTCAAACCACTAACCTTCCGGCTAGCAGCTGAGCACTTAAATGTTCCCACCGATCACCACACACTGTCATTGTGTCAATTCCAACTCATGGAGACCCTCGATTAGGTTTCTGAGGCTGTAAATCTTTATGGAAGCAGCTCACTTCATATTTCTCCCATGCAGTGGCTGGAAGATTCAAAACATTAACCTTTTGGCTAGCATTGCAGTATATAACTCACTATGTCATGAGGGCTCCTGTGACTGGTGTAGAACTTCTCAAATATGAGGTGTTCTTGAAATAGTCAATGATGCCGAGTGAATTAAGTCAGTCACAAAAGACAAGATTGCATAAGACACTACTATTATAAAAAGCTAAAGAAAGATTTACACACAGAATTATCCTTGGTTGATTGCCAGGGGTGAGAAGGGCTAGGGAAGGGAGTAAAAATTAATAAACAGATAATTATTGTTGTGTGCCATCAAGTTGGAACCTACCCATAGCTGAGTCTCCAGCATGTTTTCAGAGCCAGTAATTACGTGGGTGGAGATGCCCATCCTTCTCCCACCAAAGGGAAGATAGCCAATTATTAAGATGAGTGAAGGGAAGACAACTTACAATAAGAGGATGAATGTTTTAAAGCACAGTATGCATCAATGACTGAATGAAAATCCAATATACTTTGTACATGTTCCTTCAAATCATGATTAAAAGATAAATTTTTAAAAATGGGTGTACTTTGTACATGTTCCCTCAAATTATGATTAAAAGATAAATGTTAAAAAATGGGTATGGATGGTATTTTAACTCTAAAATAGTAACACATGCTCAGTGAATGTGTATGTGAATGAATAAATGAACAGTTTACTGCTGTTCTGCCAGAAAGTAGTGCTAGACTTTCAAGAGTGAAAAGGGTATCAATACTTGGAATATGCTTTCACCGAAGGTCAGTTATCTTTATCTATAATAATTCCTACCATTGACTTTCAAAGTAATCCGCTTGTAGTCAGCACCGCCATAGCTGATGAGGCAGCAGTAAACCCCTGCATCGCGCAGTTTCACGTCTGTGATCTGAAGCATGGCCTTTCCCTGGGAGAGCTGGTCTTTAAGCAGCTGAGCCCTCTGTCTGTAGCTGCTGTGCTGCACCTTCGAGTCTTCTTTCCCATTCATAAATTGAATAATTTTCTTGTCCCCCATCTCCCAGTATACAACTAAGTCATCCAGGTTGAACTCCTTTTCTACTGGGAACACACATTCCATCGTCACATTGCTGCCATAATCTACCACATGTAGGTCCTTAGGCACAGTGACAGTAAAAGCTGAAAAGAAAGAGAGCCAGTCTTCATAAGAAAGAATAGTCCTAAAGGAATCTACCAGATGGGTGCAGGATTTACAACCACTTTACCTACCAGTTACGTTGTTGTTTGTTACATTAGTAGTTATATTTAAGGACTTACTTCTCTAAAATACATCTTTTTGTATCCAGTGAATTTGAATCATGTTTTAGGGATCATCTCTTCATTCTTTTCTAAGTTAGAACTATTCACCAAATTAGAATAATAGAATTAGCTAAAAATGTTGCCATTCTACACTTTAAAAACTCATATTAAAACCCATTGCCATTGACTTGATTCTCACAGCAACTCTCCTTTGGATTTCTGAGGCTGTAAATCTTTACAAGAGGAGACGGCCTATCCTTCTCCCATAAAGCAGCTGGTGGTTTTGAACTGCGGAACTTTTATTAGCAGCCTGACATGTTAAACTCTACACTAATAGGATTCCTTAAACAGGTATTAGTGTAGAAATATTAAATGATTATCGGAGGACATCTAATCAAGTAGACTTCACTTCATGCAGACATCTGAGAATTTGTCTTAACCTAGTCTGCCTAGTGAATACTAGTATTTCTTTCTTGCTCATATAAATTCTTGATCATTTCTGGCCAGAGGTTCATGGGTTTGGAGACTTAGGGAAGAACTCAGTATGAAGCCAACACTGTGTGATCTGGACAACTTCCCTGAATGCCTAAGTACTCCCACAGAATATACTCATAGAGAAAGCAGGTCACAATGTTGACAGAGTGATCCTTGCTTAAAACAAACCAACCAACCAACCACATATTTCCATTTCTTTTATCTTTTTACAATGATACAGATGACTAGTTTATGAAATAAAGATAAAATGCTCTATATAATATTCCATCCATTTTTATCATTATTTTACTTTTTGTCTTATGGTCAAAATAACTAAAAATATAGAACATAAGAATCTTACCGTTCAGTAAATGACAGTAGGTCATGAGTGTAAAGATATTAAATATCCTCATCATTCTGGAATTACCTAATTATGAAAAACACAAGAAGACTAGTTTATTCAATAAATCTAAACTAAGACAGTATGGCACTTGGCAGCTTTAACGGAAATTATCTTTTGATAACTGCTCAATGATTGCTTTATACATTTGGAAATATAGCAGGAGATTTTGAAGTTCAATATTCTCACTTTGTATCACAGAGCTATAGAAAATGCAGTGAAAAAATATTTATGAGAAGAAGACAATTTAAAATTTTATTTACAAGCTCTGAAATAAAAACAAAAAGCAATCCAACATCAAGACCTCAAAAACGTGTAATGAACACTCAAAAGATGCTAAGACATACCACACAAAATTCCATTAATTTCCCCCAATGTTAAAGATAAAGGGAGCCAATCTTAACCCTACGCAAAATTTCAGGCCCAAGAGAATTTTACTTCCACTTTCCCTACCCTGCGGTCCATTTCCCCTGAGCAACCAGCTACAATCATCTTCCTTTCCTTTGACTGTTCAACTGCATGAGTTCTTCCTGAGCACCCAAGCTTCAAAACGTACTATTCTGCTTCTTAGATTGCTAAATAATAAATCCTATTCACTCAACAAATTTATTCTTCTTCCCTATAAAGAGTAGAAAGCAGAAACAATTGGATTTGACCACTTAATAGTAAAATGTGAGTGACATCTGCCTGGATTCATTCTATCACCTTGCTTGAAATGTCAATGCTTCTATCATCCAGCAACAATTCACTTTGAATCTCCTCTGTGCTAGGCACTATGTTAGGCATTGGAGAATACAACAGTGGAACAGGAAAGCAAAGCTAGTGTACTTGCTCTCTATATCTCATAAAGTCTAGTTCTCTCTCTTCGTATTTCTCAGAATTCCATATATAGACAAAAACTCACAAATGATTAATAAGTACATGCTATACATATAATGATTAATAAGTACATGCTATACATAGAAAAACACTGTGGCATCGGGATTGGAGGACCAATCATTGACAATCTGTGTGATGCAGATGACATAACCTTGCTTTTTGAATTGAGGAGGGCTTGAAGCATTTGTTGCAGAACGTCAGGTACTGTAGTCTGCAATATGGACTGAAACTCAACATGAAGAAAACAAACAAAAAAAAACATGAAGAAAACAAAGATTCTCACCACTGGGCTAGTTGGCAGCCCCATGATAGAGGGAGAAGAGATTGAGACTTCTAACAATTTCAGCTTGTTCAGTTCCACAATCAGCACTCTTGGCACCAGCAGTGAGGAAATCAAAAGATGAACTGCATTAGGAAAATTTGCAGTCAGAGACCTTTCCAGAGTGCTAAAGGGTAAGGATGTCAGTCTAGCGACTAAGGTGTGCCTGATCCAGACCATGGTCTTTGGAATTGCTTGTTGTGCATCAGAGAGCTGGACAATGACTAAGGATGATAGAATAAGAATTAATGTCTTTGAGTTGGGATGATGGAGAAGAGAACTGAACATATCATGGACCACCAAGCGGACAAACAGGTCTGTCTTAGAGAGGGTTGAACAAAGCTATTCTTTGAAGGCAAGGATTCTGAAGTTCTGTCTCACATACTTTGGGCATGTTGCCCACAGGGACCAGTCCCTAGAGAAGGACATTATGGTTGGAAGGGTGACAGGACAGGGTATGAAAGGAAGACCCTGGATGAGATGGACTGACTGAGGACAGGTGTGTCAGAGGCAGTGAGATCAGGATAGATCAGGGTTCAGAGTTATTGTGCCTAAGGTTGCTATGAGTTGGAGTCAACTTGACAGCACATACCAACAGGAAACATACATATAAGCTTTGCCATGGAAAAAGGATATGCAATCTCCTCCTGTGTGACTTACTGCCTCTGAAAACCTGCTTGATGATCAGCTACACATCAGTTCCGACTTGACAGCACACACCACACCACAACATACATATAACGGAGAGAAGCCCTGCCTCGAATAATAAGGCAAACTCAACTTAGTGCTGTTGGGTCAGTTCTGACTCCCAGCAACCTTCCATTTGGGTTTAACAGGAAAAGAATGCTTATCTTCTACCTGCAGGGCAGCTGGTGGATTCAAACTGTTGACTTTCCTACTGGATATTTATTGTCTTCATTGTTAGGAGCCGCTGAGTCAAGTATGACTCACAGTGACTCTGTGAACAGCCATCCGGAAACCTGTCCTATCCTGTGCCATCCTCAGCATCTGAGACACTAGAGACCATTGTAGAAGTGTCAATCCATCTCCTTGGAAGTCATCGTCTCCTTCCCTGACCCTTCCCTTCTTTCCAAGCATGATGTCTCTTTCCAAGAAATAGCCTCATCTAGCTACAATGTATGAAAGATGAAGCTTCGTTATCCTTAACTCCATGCAGCATTCTGGCCACATCCTTTCCAGGACATAGCTGTTTGTTCTATTGACAGTCTATGCAGTACTCTTCTCCAGCATCACAAGTGAATGGAATCAATGTTTCTTCCGTCGTCCTTATTCATGGTCCAGCTCTCCAATGCATAGCAGGTGACTGAGAAGGTCATGGCCTGAATCAGACCCACCTTAGTCTTCAAACTGACATCATTGCTCTTCAGTATTTTGGAGAAGCCCCTGACAGCAGACTTGGCCAACATAATATGTCTTCTACTTCCTGACTGCTGGTACTAAGGGTATTGATTGTTGATAGCACAACACATGTTGCACTGTGCTACCAACACTTCTTTTACTATACAAATAGTTCTTAAAAACCAACTAGATAGTTACCAAGGATGGGAAAGGAGGGAGAAGGAAGTAAAAATTAGCAAAGAGATAACAGAGAGGTCAGAGGGAAGGCAATGTACAATAAAGGATGGTTAGCACGATATCACTAAAGAAGGGAAGTCCCAGAGGATTTCTGGGAATCAGAATTGCAGGGAGCAAGTCCGGAAAACAAGATTACATTGTAGGTATTGTAATTAATGTTATAAAACAAACTGTATATGAATGGATGAATAAAACACTAATTTCCTTTGTAAACTTTTGGTCAAATCACAACAAAGAAAAATTAGTAAGAATGCCACTGCAATTCAACAGGAAAATGAGGAAAAGATACCATTACATAGTTCAGAAAAACAAAAACCCAAATCCACACCATCACCTTGATGCTAAATGAGGCTGACCATTCACTGGGTTTCCAAGGTGGTAACCATTAAGGGGAGCAGACAGCTTCGCCTTTCTCCTACACATTGGCTGGTATAGTCTGACCTACTGACCTTCCCATTTCCTGCTGGACACATAAAGCACTGCACCACCAGGGATCAGAGGACAAGGAATACCAATGATGTATAAAAAGAGAAGAGGATGTTCAAGCTCCCAATAAAACAGCTTAAATGTGAGACTTGAGATATTTTCCACTTAATCATTTTAACTTGACTAAACCCATAAAAGGGAGCTCTGGTGGCCTAGTGGCAAGAAGCTTCGCTGCAATCCGAAGACATGCGGTTTGAGGCCACCAGCTGCTCCATGGGAGAAGGTTGGGCAGTCTCCTCCCGTGCGATTAACTGCCCCTGAAAACCCTCTAGAGGGTCAGCTGTGGGTCGGTTCTGACTACAGTACACAACAACAACCAACCCAAAAGATGCTTAATAGCATCTGTGAGGGGTTAAGGGCTCATGGGTGTTCTCACGAATGATGGGACCACGAGGTTGGACAATTTCCAAGAAGGGAATTTTTATCTTAAGTTTTAAATGTGTACTTTCGCCTACATAGCTATTCCCCCAAAAGCAAAGTAAAGCACATGTAGTGAAAAAAAAAAAAAAAAACAAAAACAAAAACAAAAAAAAAACCCATGTAAAGGGCTGGTGATGCTGAGGCCAGGCAGGACAGACGCGTTCTTCACCCAGGGCTGTCAGCCAGGCTGTATGTAGAGTGAAGTCTATTCTCAGCACCCTGCCTTCTAGACTAGACGCTTCCTCTCTAGTTGGTCATTTTAGTACCAAATGCACCAACCAGGACTGAAATGAGAGCAAAAACGGCATCTTGCCTTGCAAAAAGCAGACGCAGTGCTTTTTCTTGTCAACTCCCTCAGAGAATAGTCTCCCCAATTCCTCGCCTCTTAACCCATCTCGAACCAAACGTCTACGCAGACCCTCCCTCCTTCCTCTGCCTGGCTGCGGGAGACACCAGGAGGCTCCCCTACCTGCGTGCAAGTCCCCTACCTGCGTGCAGGCGGCGCGGGTGCCGGCACATCCCCGGGTGGACAACCTGGACGCAGCGCACGAGTGCGCTCCCGGCGCAGGCGGACAGGTCCCTCCACCCGCCCGCCACACTTCAGCTTGTTTTATACATCAGAAAACGAAAGTGAAAGCAAACGCCGAAGCACCACCCCCGTACCCCGTAAAGGAATCAATAAAATTAATAGCCACGCGAAGAGCAGTCTGAACCGGTGGAGCCTCTGCGGGATCCCCTCGAGGTCCCTCAGGGTTCCCTAGGAGTCACTTCTGATTCAAACATGAGTCTGAGTTGGTTGGCTTTTCTGGGCCAGGAAAGCTGTGAAAGGACTGATTCAGCAGCATGTGAAAGGATATCAAGATGTTATTTGAAAGCTATGACTGCCTTGCTCTGCTGCAAATGAGAACATTTTAATACTAAATTAGTAACCTGTAATAAAATCTAATATTAGGTTCCAGTACCTTGCTCCAAATGCAAGCGAGAACAGGTTAATAAATTAGTAAACTGTAGTACATTCTGATATCAGGTACACCCCACCCCACCCCACCCCAGTGATCTAGTGCTGCTGTGCTAGGAAACCACAGGTGAATTACTTTAATGAACACTTGATGCTCTCAGTTAGAAGGCAGCTACTCTGGCGCACACGTTCTAAGACAGCAGGGCTGTACCCTTGTTTTCCAAGGCTCGACCTCTTTATGGAGAAGCATCTTTCTCCCACAAAGCTAGGGGTGGGGTCTAAACACCCTCTCAAACTTGGCAGTTAGAGAGCCAACAGTGAACCCATCACACCACCAGACTCCTCAGCGGGCTTG